TTGGAGAGATGAAATACATCATATTTGTTTCATCAGTATATTGAATTAACATTCTATACCAAAGCTAGGGAGGGGCATTATTATTCCAAGGATAGAATCCATAGGGGATGTGTTTCCTATGTTGTGAAAATGCCCACCAAATTTCGTAGCCTATACCTGATACTTCCTCAAACTGAAATGTTGCCCACAAACAGCAAACTAATCAGTTTTTCTTTACTATTTATTCTAAAGTTTGCATTTATTAAGAATAAATAAAAGCCAAAGTGTGTCATTCTCTCCCTGCAAGCTAGAGACTATGCCAGAAAGAATTTTGCATAGGTTATTAGTCCTTTACAACCTTCTCTACACTTATTACATTCTTTTATGATGTCATCAGTCCTATGGCACTTCAGACCTCTAAAGCAGAAATGCCATGCATGTCTCTACAGTTAAGAGGAGAGAGAGCATTGAGACTATGACTCTGCTCTACTCAGAGCCATCATTATTGTTCCACACAATAGAAGCAGAAGGATCATTGCCAAACTCTTTTTATGAGGCTACAATTACCTCAGTACCCAAACCACACAAAGACACAACCAAGATAGGGAATTACAGACCAATCTTCCTCATGAACATTGATGCAAAAAATACTCAATAAAATACTCGCAAATCGAATCCAAGAACACATCAGAAAAATCATACAACATGATCAAATAAGTAGGCTTCATCCCAGGGATGCAGGGATGGTTCAATATACGAAAATCCATCAATGTAATCTACCATATAAATAATCTGAAAAAGAAAAACCACATGATCAGCTCACTAGATGCAGAAAAAGATTTTGACTCCTTCATGATAAAGGTCTTGGAGAGATCAGGGATAACAGGAACATACCTAAACATAATAAACATACAGCAAACCAACAGCCAGCATCAAACTAAATGGAGAGAAACTAAAGGCGATTCCTCTAAAATCAGGAACAAGACAAGGATGTCCACTCTCTTAATATCTCTTCAAAGTTGTACTTGAAGTTCTAGCCAGAGCCACACAACAACAAAAGATCAAAGGGATACAAATTGGAAAGGACGAAGTCAAACTTTCACTATCTGCAGATGATCTGAAAGTCTATGTAAGCGACCCAAAGAATTCTACCAGGGAACTCCTACAGCTGATAAATACTTTCAACAAAGTAGCAGGAGACTGCTCTGCTCTACCCAGAGCTATCATAGATATCTGTGGGAGTTGAAGCAGCAGAGTGACATAAAAGAGAACAGGACTGAAGGAAGTGGAATTTGGTTTACAACTCCCAAGTCATAAGGTATTTGAACTGAAGATGTAAAGTTCAATGTATTTATGTCTGATAAAATTCTCGTGGGTACCACCATGAGTCAGGTCTTCATCAACAAAGTCCCTGGGACCTATCTGAGAGAAGAAAGACACTTAGATAGTGCCTTGAGTCAGAGAGTGGACCTACTGGGCTCTTTTGCTTCTTGTTGCTTCCACAGCTTGTTTTCTTGAAACAGGAACCAATAACAAAAGAAGTTGGCTTATTTTAAATTCTGGTCCTAATTCCAAGCCAAAAAAAAAAAACCCACATCCTGGGCAGAGTCAGGCTGTACATGTGTAGCCTGAATGTCTTCTCCCTAGGCAATGACTTCTCCCACCTGGGAACATCATAGCCAGGTTGCCAAGGATGTGTTTCTTGCATGGAGGGGCTGAATCATGAAACTCAGACTTGCATTTCTGGGTCACACTGTGTCCTGGATTTTAAGAACACTGGCGGGGCCTGGGTGTGGGCTGTCTGTGCAGTTCTGCCCCCAGCTTGTGTCAGCATGTTCTGGTATTTGAGCAAGACTGAAGCTTGTGCTCATGCATATGAGGAAAAATTTAAAGTGGGGAGAAGGATAAATCATAATATATTGGCCTCTTTACACACAGGCTAATGACACATGGTCAGCATGTGAAGCAGATTATTTTAAAAAGCTCTGCTGTTAGAATACTTCTTTTCATGTACTGTCTATCTGTATCTGTTCATTAAACTTTAGAAGCTTGCTTCAAGGTAGGAGTTGATCTATTTTACAACTTACAAATTACTCACTTTTTGGCAACGTTAGGAACACTTCTACAAAAAAGTGAATTTTTCTATAAGATTAGATTTACCTGTCCAGTCTTCATTAATCATATTTTCTTCTGAATCTACATACTATAATTTTAATTAACTTCATTTTTTGATGACTTTTAAGTATCTCTGGTCAATAATGAAGCTAAGGAAAACTAGTGTGTCCTAATCTCCATTTATAAAGCCAAGGCAGGAAAAGACTAACTTACATACTAATGTATTTTTCTCTAAGAAAACACATTTCCCAAGAATAAGAGAAAAATAACTTTGTGACTCTGTTCTTCAGTTTTGTCAAGAAACACTGGAACAGGAGTAGAAAATACAAACTTTAAGGAATTTATTAAAAGAAAATTTTGTCTTATGTATCCTTCTGTTTATTAGCTTAGTTAGCATTCATAAAGTACATATACATATACTTATTAAAATTGTATAGCTAGTACAGAGATTTGCATCTGCCTCCCACGTGATTTCCTGTGGCTAATGAGCCAGTGTCACTACTATTCTTAGAATTCATGCTTTCTTCAGACTTCCTTAGCTTTTACCCAGGGTCTTCTTTTATTCCAAGATCCCAGTCAGGAGAACACATTACAGTCACTCACCATGATCACATGTCCTTAGAGTCCTCACAAATATGGCAGTGCCTTAGATGTCTAGATTTGTTATGGCATTGAGTATTCAAGAGTTCTCATAGTTCATAGGTATATATACACATAGTATTTTGTAGGATATCCCCAGTTGAGATTGTTTCTAATGTTTTCTCATGTATTTGAAGAGAAAGACTATAAGGTTAAAGTAACAAATTTATCCCACTATATCAAGGATACTATCAACATGTCTCATCACTGCCACTGTTAATCTTGATCACTTGTCTCTTTGGAATTTGTAATTAATTATAAAGCATGCTATTTCACTTAAATGAATATTCAATTTAATTTTAAGCATCATTTATCCAAGCAGTAGTACCAGCTATGAACCATTCAGGCTATAATACATTAAAGATGACATTGCATATTTAGGAGGACTAGGAAGAGGGATTACATAATAGAAGAACAGGTTTAATGAGTTTTAAAGTTCATTTTGGGTACAGTTCATGTGCAAGAATTTGATATGATCAGTTCTTGCTTAGTGTATCTGATTTTGCAAAGTATGTTGTAATCACTCTGAGTGGTTTCTTTCTTTTTTTTTTCCACAGCATCCCTGTGAGGATAGCCTTTGGAGTCAGAGACTAACATTTGCCTCTGAGTTTAGCCACCTGACCTTTAGAATAATCTTAGGGTCATCTCATCAGTAAAATAGGTGTAAGTAGCACAGACCTTATGTGTAGTATAGTATAGGTAAGATTTCTAACGAGCTGCCCAAATACATATGAGGTATTTTCTTTATCATCCCTCCTTCCACACTATCTGAGCTTATAAACATGTGGTTCAAGATTTGGAGATTACAAGGATACATGATATTTTTAAAAGGGATAATTAATACTCTAACAATTATCTTAATTTTTCTTTGTGTCTGTGTTTATGTGTGTGTAGACACACACAGGCATGGACATGTGTGTTCCAACATACATGGGTGTGGGGAATGAGGAAAAATACAGAAGTCAGTTCTCTCTCTCTACTATGCTCTGGGGATCAAACTTACATTGTTAGGACTGGCAGCAAGTGCCATACCTGCTGAGCCATCTTACTGGACTACGAAAATTAATCTTAATTTTGTAAATGGCAAATATTTGACAAAAATTTGACTTCAAATCAATGCCAGTCTTATGGTAGCAAACAAATACAGTCCGTGTGTCCAGACATTAGTAGAATGATCAAGAGATAATCACAATTTCCTATAATGCTTGGTCATAATTCTAGATCTCCCAGAACCTACTTATATTTTTTCCCTAATTTAAGAATAGCAAGGGGAAAAAGCCATTAAAACTATAATCACCACAACTGGCTTGAATATTGACTGGTACTGTCATTGTATTGTTGATACAAGGTTAACACAATACCTTGAAGATCTATAATCATGTAAGCCTAACCATAAGTAGGGAAGTTGCAACATTTATGTGTTTTATGTAAGAGAAGACAACTATGTATTCTCAAACAAAAAAACACACACAGAGATATCTTTTGTTATCTGTGTGGGAATAGTTCCAGAATTTTCAGGCATACTAGAACCTGAAAATGCCCTAAGTCCCATATATACACTACCATAATATTTGCTAATTAACTGCGCATATCTTTCCATATACTTTATCATAACTAGATCTACAGCATGAATTCTTTATAAACAGTGATTATTCTGTGTAGTTTAGGGAGTAATGATATGAGGTCTGTACCTGCTCACTGTCTATGCATTTTAAAAATATCTTTGGTCCATGGTTGACTGGTTCCGCAGATGCAGAATCCACAGATGCAGATGGTTGATTATATACTACAAGGGATGGAGAAAGATCACTTCTACTTGTCACTTTCCTCACTGGACATGCCTGTTAGAGTAAGTCTGAAGTAGAACTATGATCATGTTTTCCCTTCAGGTTGTGCCTCTCAGAATTCCAGAGATTTTTTCCCACACCATATGTGGCAATGGTACTTGAAGGACTTCATTTTTCATAGAGCAAGATTCCTACATACAAGTCCACTACTTCATTTGAATATTATATTGAAGAAACTGAAATATCATCAAAAGTCTGTACTAGTGCTGTTTATCTTCAATGTGAGATGAACAGGCCCCCAAAGTTATTTCAATGACCATCTTTGACACTATTCCCTTCTTGCCGTATAAATTAACCCCAACATGGGATATAGTTCCACTGTTTACCATTATTAGTTTATACTTAATATGAAATTTTCTGTCCCATACATTTTCCCAGAAAATTACTTTTGACAATGGTTTGTTAGAAAAATGGCTTCATTAGTACAGATTCTGAGACCATTTGGTTCCTGGTAACCAGACTGGTGCTGGGTTTTCCTATTCTGATCTGCTTGGTACCTTGATACGGGAGGCACATACATAGTGCCTCCATAGTATGTATTCCAAAGTGTGATTCCAAGAATTGAGGGAGTGCTAATGAAGGAATATCTTGCTGCCTCTGAGCCTCCACCTAGCAAAGGTTCCAGGAAAAGAAATCCAGGGACGTTCTCCTCTTTTGTCTTCTACCTTAATGTATGCGAGGTAGAGGCGAGCATATTTCCACACTGCTGGGTCGACAAGAAGAGGGCAGTTCCCCAGAAGATGTGGTTAACATGTGGGGTAGACAGTAGGAAGTGTGCTCTTCTGTCTCACCTGGAGATCTGTATGGATTCTTCTTCCTCTTGACACTAGCAATGGACCAGGGATGGCAGCTAAGACAAGTCGGAGCAGTCAGTTAGTTCCTACCTCCTCTTCATTACCTTGTCTTCTCATGGCTGCTACATTACTGGGGTTCCCAGTGAAATGGTTATGACAGAGCCAATGGGGAAACTAATCACATGTATTAGCCACTTTTTCATTACTACATACTTAGAAGAAACACCTTACAGGGAGAGAGGTCTAGTTTGGTCTGAGGATTCTGTTACATCACGGAGGAAACTCATGGTTGCTGAGGTGGCTTCACCTGTAGCAGTGGGAACACGAAGAAATCCTCCTCACATCCTAGTACACAGGAAGCCAAGAACCCAGAACCACAACCAAATCTTAACTTCAAGGCCTGCCTCCAACAACCCATTTAGAGCTAACCCATAGAACCCATAGTTCTACAGCCTCACAAAACAATGACACCAGCTGGGGACCAATTTCTCGAACACGTGAGCCCGGGGGATATTTTACATTCAATCAACGATATCACACACTTAGAGTGGGGGGGTAATATGAGTGAAGTAGGTAGAAAACTTGAATTTTGTGCCTATTTTACATATATATTAATAAACATGCTGCATAGTACACAAAAAAGGAAGCAAACATTCTTGTGTGGTGGAGATACTCAGGCCTACTAAGTAATCCATAATCATCCTACCTCACGTGAGGTGAGTGACATTTTAAAAGGTCAGGGCCTGGGTCAGCAAATTTATGTTATTTTAAAAACTCTTGATAAGTTACTTTCTACTGTGTGGTACAGGCATGTTACTGAGCTTCTCTTAGTTTTGACATACATCTATAAAATGTACATGATTTGGAGGCTTAAAGGGCTGTATTCAGAATATTAGTCATATTAATGAAATCTGCATTTTAGCCAGCTTTGGAGAAGTAGAGTCACTTAGCCTCGGGAATAACTGACAGGAAATTATAGCACATACTTAGCTCTTTGCTTTTGGTGAAAGAATGGGCTCATCATGTCCTAGAAGGCCATTATTTTGACATTTTGTTTAAGGCTACTTGCTAATTTGACTCAGTTATTTTAGACAAGAATGTTTAAAAAGATCTAAGTGATATTATTAACAAATAGGTTGTATCTTCTCCTCACAGAGTTAAGCCTGTAATTATATGTTGAGATGATTTATTAGTACCACAGGCCTAAACATTTCCTAACAATTAGGATTGACTAGAGACACAGGATAACTGTCCACATGCAAGGGATCTGACGGCAAAAGAGTCACAGAGGAATAGGTGATACTTGGAGGATGAGTCACAAGGAATGGCTCAGAGAAAGGTATTAATTAGACTAATAGGAAATTATAACACGTAAAATATGGGTTAAGTATCAGCAAATTTCCCTTAAGGACATGCTTCTTATGATGGCAGGGAAGAGTTGTCTACAGGAGGTGATTAGAGCTGTGAAGCCTGAGACTTTCAAAACTAGACTGAACAGAGTCCCAGTGAGCATGCCTACTGTAGGTGCTGGGCTGTGTTAGGTAACCTAACAGCCCTGACACTGTTAAAGGCCTGGGATGGCTGGCCTCACCACTAAGAAAATACACTGCAAACCATCCAGTAAGATTCACTCCCTGAAAAACTGATCAATCAAATCCACCTGCATTCTTTTCTTTTAGGGCAAACCTCCCAATAGCACTGATTTTAATATAAACACAGATAAGTCAGTTTTCATTTTGAAGACCCAGTGTATAATTTGGTTATTGCTTTATCAGAGGGAATTTTATTCCTTAAGATATATCAACAGATATTAACTTCTGTTTCTTTTCAAAGAACATACATAGCTTTATTAAATGCAAGACTTTGCATTAGTTCTTTAAAGTCTTGCTTAGTGAAGCATTATTTGTCTGGCATCATCACACAATCATGGGTGTGCCATGTCTTCCAGAAACAGTACCAACAGACAAAGTGGGTGGAGACATTGGTGGAACTATCACTGTCCAAGGTCCACTGTGACAAGTGCTCACAGGTGCCTATGGTATTATTTTTGGGTTCCACCTATAATAAGTATAACCAAGCTGATCGGGAGCATGGCCCACTGCACTCCTCCCAGGCATACTCCAGTTTAAACCCATCCCTACCCGGAAAGACTGTTGGACTGTGTAGAGTGACTTCAGGAATCCTAGAAGATCCTCCTTACCTGTATGTTTGGGGAACTCTGCACCAGGTAATTAGTACCACAACTATTTACTTCACACTAGAAATGCTACTTAAACATGCTACCTAGCTCCCCGCTTCCTTTGGTGTGAATTAGTCACCAGTCTTTACTCCCTCCTCTGTCTTCTATGGAATTTTCTGACCATTTAAAATCCTGGCCAACTCTCGAAGGATGGTGGCTCTTTCTTTCCATTCTCAGCGTTTTCTACTCTAAATGCATTTCAATAATTCATTTTTACCAGAATACCTCGTGCCACACAGATTTCACCATAGACAACTATCCCTGAAAATAACTTACTAAGTTTTTCTTAGACAGTGCTTAAGTACCACCCCTGCCCACAATGTGGCTTATGTTCATACCTTTGCAGCACTCAGGTGTCATAATCTTCTTCAAGAAATTAACATGTCAGACAAAAATTGTATGTACTCACTCATATATAGATTTTAGACATGGAGGAAAGGAGTACCAGCCTAAAATCCACACTGCCAGAGAAGCTAGGAAACAAGGAGGACCCTAAGAGAGACAGACATAAATGGTTCCCCAGAGAAGGAGAAAGGGACAAGATCTCCTGAGCTAATTGGGAGCATGGGAGAAGGGGAGAGGCAGTTAGAAGAAAGAGGAGGGGAGAAGAGGAGGGGAGAGGAGGAGAGGAGAGAACAGGAAGATCGAATTATGGGAAGAATAGAAGAGAGCAAGAAAAGACACCACAATAGAGGAAACCATTATTGGTTTAAAGAGAAATCTGGCACTATGGGGCCCTGAGCAGTGGATCAGTGTCTATCCCTGGAATACAAACAGTCATCATGTGCCCATAGCACAAAGAGGGATGCTCTCTCAGCCTGGACTCTTAGGGGAGTGCCTGGACCCTACCCTGAGTGAAATGACAGACTCTAGATATCCCCTATGTGGAAGGAATTGGCAATAGGGTAGGAGGGTGGGGGGGAAGGGGAGTGCAGGAGGAGGGGAGGGAGAGGGCACTGGGACTGACATGTAAAACAAGCTATTTAAAATTAAAATAAAAAATGGTTTAAAAAAAAGCATGATGTCCTGGACTGAATTCCTTTTGTTCTGTCACTTCTTTTCCTTCTTTTTTGTTGTTGTTTTTTTATTTTAATTTTTACATTTAAATTTTAGTTAGAAACAAGGTTGCTTCACATGTCAATCTCAGGTCCCTCTCCCTTTCCCTCTACTCCTCCCACACCCTCCTGCCAAGCCCCCCATACCCCCTCATTTCCCCAGGGAGGGTGAGGGCCTCCATGGGTGTGTCCATAGTCTGTCATTTCGTCCAGGGCAGGACCTAGACCCTCCCCCAAGAGTCCAGGATGAGAGTGCATCTCTCATTGTTGGATGGGTACCCAAAGTCCATTTGTATGCCGGGGATAAATACTAATCTACTACCCAAGACCCCTTAGATTGCCTAGGCCTCCTCACTGACACCCACATTCAGGGGGTCTTGATCAGTCAAATGCTGGATTCCCAGCCATCAGTCTGGGATTCAAGAGCTAACCCTTGTTCAGGTCAGCTGTTTCTGGGGGTTAAACCAGCCCATTCTCAACCACTTTGCTCATCAGTCCTCCCTCTTTGTCACTGGGTTCCTTGAGTTCAGCTCAGTGTTTAGCTGTGGGAGTCTGTTTCTAACATTTAGCACACTGTTGACTCCTAGTAAATAATTAGAAAATATTTCTTGGATGAACTAGTGAACAACACATCTCACTGGGAGAAGCAACAAATTGGATGATATTCTAAAAGGTATGTAAGTTAAAAAATTTTGTCTAGGGGACTGGAAAAAAAAGACAGCATTAAGAAAGGCACTAAGATGAGAATAACTTCAAGATGCTCATGAAATACTAAAGAGTGTCATATTAGAGTGGAAACTATATGTTACGTAAACTAACGGTCAAATTATGAGGCTCCATGAAAGGCAACAAGACATTAAATACACCTGCAGTAGAGCTTTTAGCCCACCCATTACTTTAGAACAGAGGGATATTATGACAACACTGATCACTGATGGAAGGGCAACCTGGGACACGGATGCTAGAAGCAGTGGGTCATGACTATACCAAAAGCCCCTAAGAGCTTGTGTGCTGTAATATCTGAACGAGAAGATGTGGTGGGATGCATTACTGTTTCCAATATTATACTGCTCTCAATTTTAGTGCCTGTCCTCTAACCCTTGGCTAGAGACTTGTCTGACTTGTCTGGACAATTTGCTTTGGTTGCTGGAGTCTAAGTTGGGATGACATGAACAAGAATTTGAAAAGCATTTATATTGTTGTGTAACGAGGCAGGATGCTATCCTCACTAAGAGAAGAAAACTTAGCTGATCTATGTTTAGTAAGCCTAGGAGCAGCTGAGCCTTTGCTGAACACAGCCTTAGTCAATTAACCCCTAGCCCGCCCACAAACACATGGTAAATGCTAAATAATTGTTTTAAGATTGAGTTTTGGGGTGTTTTGTTGTGAAGGAATAGAAATTGTTACAGGAGATTAGGATGTAGTAATGTAATAGAAAGAAAGGACGGGAGGATTATGAGATTCACTTTGAAGGCCAACGTTCTTTGGTGGTAACCAAGACTGGGGCTGAATAAAATTCAAAAGTTACTGTAAGTTTTTGTCTGAAGTAAAACAAGGATGATTATATTTATATGACAGAGAAATGAGTCCAAAGTTTTTAATTTGTTGAACATGGAGTGACTGTGAGAAGATCTGGGGAAATGGGTGTGTTAAGGTCTTAGAGGTTAGGAGAGGGGCTAACCTAGAGGACACAGGTGGTCTCGATGCCACTATTTTGTATTTTTAACTGGTATCAAAACAGTCCCATGTTCAGTTGTCATTGTGGAAATATGCACATTCATCTGCACATACAAAATGCTTGGTAGCGTGTGCAGCATATAGTTGTCTCTAAATGGAGGGTATTTCCGAGTGTATTATCACTATCAAACATCAAGGTGACTACAGTGTACTAGATGGTAAAGTAATTCACTAGATGCTATCATAACTAGTGGCCATTGAAGGGGCTAGTACAGTGGCCACAAGTCCATATATGTGTGTGGAGGTGTGGAGAGGGAAAAAGGAGACCAGTTTGGCCAAACAGGACAGAAGTCAAACAAGCAGACAATTTGAGTCTGGAAGTAAGAGGGCATTGGGATGAAGCAGGAAGTCTAGCTGAGGTGATTCGACCTAAGGCCTGGTTGTCACATCCAGAAAGAGGAGACACAGGTACATGTGATGATAAACAAGAGAGCTATAGCCATGGATCACTTCTGCCAAGTGCTCACAGAGTTTTGGAGTCTGGTTTTGTGTGAATCTAGGAAAAAATTGCTCCTATTAGCATAAGCAGTTCCCAGTGTTTCTTCTGTCTTGACAGACAATTCCTTGATCTGCTGTTTGCTTCCTGGGTCTGTACCTGTAGTCTAGCGCATATTGAAGCTCAGGAGATTCACATCATCAGTTAAGGCTAGATGATTTCATTGTCTTGCCTGGCCAGGGAAGAGTCTAGTGGAGGATGAGGAGTGATAACAGGCCGGGCTCTGAGCAGAAGCCAAGATTAACGGCTTCTCTCTCATTTCAAATTCATCCATTGAACCAGAGGTTGAAAACAGTTTTTCTTTGGACTCTCCTGGCAAGAGCTGAAAAAAGAAAATAGAAAATAACTAGTAACTACTATTTATAAGGCACAGTTACTTAGGTATATCCTTTCCTTGGGGGGTGGGTACTAAATTTATTTCTCTGTTCATCGTGTGCTTCTTCTTGCTTTATGATTTGCATTCGCAAAGCCCCTTATTTGGTGAAATCCTCCTTTTGGAAAGTGTACCCGGCAGTTAATTATCGACTTACAAAGAAAAGAGGATGATGTCAGTGAAAACCACTTACTCTTGTGGATTTACATAAATGCAGAATGCAAATAAAATAACGTTTTCTGAATAGTTCCCTGCACATTTCTGCTTGGGAGGAAATAAAAATGAACCGTATATTCATGATGATCTTTTTCATCAGTAGACTATCAGTAATTTGGAGGGACTAATCTGGTTGTCTTTATTCAATTATCTGGCTTGCTCTGGCAAGAAGCACATTAAGTGAAATAAGAGGGGGCATTATAATTAGAAGAACAAAGAAAACCATAGTGTTTTCCTTGTAAGTCTACCTTTTGTTGTTGGAAAATTGCATGGCAACATTTTTATTTCAGAGTCAAATCTGTCTTTCTTGTCTAAACATAATCCTTGGGCTATGGTGAAAATAGTTTCTCCCTTCCACCAAACTTCCTTCTGAAAATATTCTTTTATATGAGTCCCGCTGGGCGGATTCATACTGCTGTGGGGAAATAAGTCCTGACTATTTTACATGCAGGAAGGGAAGGAGACTTAAAAAAGAGACTAACTTGCGCATGCATGTTGCATGCACACACATACAAAAGAGAGAGACAGAGGCAGACAGACAGACAGAGACAGACAGGCAGACAGATGGAGGAATGTGAAGAAAGAGGTTGAAGAGGAAGAAAGAATGAATGAAATGAAAATTTGTCTATATTCTGGATAACAAAATTTGTTAAAGCTCATCTTGTCATACTAGCCCTAGCTATGCTCTTTCTCAAATTGTGGCATAAAACTGCCACCTCAAGTCATCTGCACACCCCCTTTCTGGCATTGTGTAGCTAGAACTTTCCGGAAGAAAGCCTCAGTCTTACTTATCATGCTTTCTTAAGCATATTTTATCAGCAAACTTGGCTGTGCATTTGGGAGCTTTCAGAAAATTACCTGGCTGGTCCTCTCTAAAGAGTGAACTAGTTGCTGATTTTCTTTTAAGTGAGATTTCAAACAGGATTAGTGGTCTGAACACCTGACATGGAATCTTGTAAACTCTTCAGGGCCAACAGAAAGCATTGTCCCAGAGTGAGGGTCATAACAGTAATCAGCAGATGCTGTCCTGTGCTCTGGGTCAAACCATGGTGAAGTCCCTGGAGGAAATCACTAGAGCAATTGTGAGAGGCCAGGCCTTAAGGTTGCTTTCTCTTCTCTCTCCCTTCTTCTATTCATGTAAGCCATGAGAGGGGCTCAGAGAACTCTTGATAAAGAGTTCTTCCATTAGCTAAGTTATAGTGAGGATTGAATGTGGGTGCCTAGTAGGTGGCAGACAGAACATGAGATGATATTAGGGGATGACTTACAAAACCCAAGTCATTCTTCCTTAAGGAGCATTCCCTCTCTACTGCCAAGTACACTCTGATGAGTAGAAACAGAGCCTCTCACTTTCTCATACTTTACTGAGAAACATTGTTAGTCAAGGAAGTAGTTCCTTGAGTACAAGTTCCAAAAAAAAAAAAAAGATAAACTGAACAATCTGTACTAGTCAAAGCACAAATGATGCACAAGAAGGAATAAAATGTTTAAAGCATAATGAAGATCCTCAAGAAAAGAAAAATTGCAAAGAACACAAAAGAGACATTTAAGAATGAATCAGCGGTGAAGCATTGAAGGATTAAAGTTCAACCAGAGAATGCAGTATCTGTATACTGTAAGATACAGATGTTTGGTTTCCCAAGAAAGCAAGCAGGAATACATTAGTGACAGAAGGTAAGAGATACAGAATATAAATGTTTTGCAGTCTTTTTAAAAGAGCTAATATCTATAGGAGTCCTGAGAAAGGGGGAATACAGGGAAGAAAGTAAATATTTGAGGGCAGAGTAAGTAAAAGTTTTCAAAATTAGAGAGATATATAAGACTTTAAATTGGAAACACAGATGAGCAACAGGCTCAGCATCTGGCCACACTGGGAAAACACAGCATTGTCAACAAATGGTCCTGGTCAAACTGTATGGCTGTGTGTAGAAGAAAGTAAATAGATCCATATTTGTTACCCTGCACAAAATCCAACACCAAATGGATCAAGGACCTCAACATAAGCCAGATACACTGTACATCATAGAAGGGAAATTAGGGAATAGCTTTGAAGTTATTGACACAGGAAAAGACTTTCTGAACAGGATACCAATAGCATAGGCACTGAGATCAGCAATGAATAAGTGGGACCTCATGAAACTGAAAATTTTCTGTACAGGAAAGGACACCATCATTCAGACAAAGCAACAGCCTACAGAATGGAGAAGATAGCTACTACTTACATAAACAATAGAGGGTCAATATCCAAAATATTTTAATGTCTAAAAGCTAGATATCAAGAAAACAAATAACCCAATTTTAAAATGGGGTACAGATCTAAACAAAAAAATTCTCAATAGAGGAAATTCAAATGGCTGAGGAGCATTTATAGAAATTTTCAACATCCTTAGTCATTAGGGAAATGCAAATCAAACTACTTTGAGATCTTATCTTACCCTGTCAGAATGACTAAGACCAATAATACAAATGACAGCTCATGCTGGAGAGGAAGTAGAGGAACTCTCATCCACTGTTGGTGAGAATGTAAACACGTACAGCCACTATGGAAATCAGTGTAGTGGTTCTTTGGGAGGCTGGAGATAGACCTATCTGAAGATCCAGCTGTTCCACTCTTGAGCATATACACAAAGGAGTCTATATCCTACTACAGAGACACTTGCTCATTCATGTTCATCGTCGCTCTATTCATAATAGCCAGAAATTGGAAACAGCCTAGATGGCCATCAACAGATGAATGGATAATGAAAATGTGGTATTTTTATACAGTAGAATATTACTCAACTATTAAAACAAACAAAAGCATGAAATTTGCAGTTAAATGAATAGAGCTAGAAAAAAAAATCATCCCGAGTAAGGTAACCCAGACCTAAACAACAAATGGTATGTATTACCTTATATGTAGGTGTTGGCTTTTAAACCTTTGATAGGCATGCTTCTACCTATATAATCACAGAGGTTAGCTATAGAATAAGGAACTTGGCAGGAACAGAAAGAATCCCTAAGGTAGGGGAAATGGAATATATAGTTATGGAAAGATTAGGGTGAAGGGTGAAGACTAGAACAGTGGTATTAAGCAGAGGGGTGGAGATAAGAGGGTGGGTAAGGGAATGAGTACAAGGAGGGCCAGCTAACACTAAGGGCCACCTAAGGCATCATATGGAAACCTACTAGAGTAGAAGCTTCTTAAAATATATGCAGATAAGAAAGAAATTCAAGAAATTGAATCATCAAATAGCAGGGGAGACAAAGCACCAACTAGATTTTTCTCAATACTAAGTGAAGCCTCCAATGCTAGGAATGCGTTATATATAACTGAGCTATTGGTCAATGGGGTCCTGTAGAAACCATACAAAACTCAGGCTATTGCCAAGGCTATTGGTTGCCCTATTATTAAAGACAACACATAAATATCTCACTGAACACAGAGCTTTCTCTTTCTCTGTATTGTCTTCTTTCTTTTGTATGTTTGCCTTGTTTTATTTTTTTTCTTAAATTGCCTGTGTCCTGTTAGGGTTACTATTACTGTGATGAAATGCCATGACCAAAGCTAGTTATGGAGGAAAAGGTTTATTTGATTTATAATTCCTCATCACTGTTCGTCACTGAAAGAAGTCAAGGCAGGAACTCATACAGGGCAGGAACCTGGAGGTAGGAGCTGATGCTGAGGCTATGGAGGGTGTTGCTTACTGGCTTGCTCATCATGGCTAGGTCAGCCTGCTTTCTTATAGAAACCAGGACAACCAGACCAGGTTAGGTCCTTCCATTAGTCACTAACTAAAAAATGTCTTATAGCCAAATCTTATGAGGCATTTTCTCATTGAGGTTCCCTCCTTTCAGATAACTCTAGGTTGTGTCAAACTGACAAAAAAGTAGCCAGGACAGCTTGTTTGTTTTCTGAAGGGAGAGGAGGACATCGGGTTGGGTATCTGGGGAAGTGGGAAGGATCTGAAAGGAGAAGTGAGAAGGGAAACCATGATCAAAATGTATTGCTTGAAAAAAATGTTATTTTCAATTAAAAAAGGGTACTTGTGGCCAAGCCTGAAGACTGGACGTCAATCCCTGGGACCCATGTGACAGAAAAAAAGAACCAACTCCTACCGATTGTCCTCTGCCTTCTGGGGTATGTACATGTCCCCCATTTAATAAATGTAATTATCAAAACCATAGATAGGCACAAATAAATTATAAAACAAAATCATACATAGGTATAATATTACTAAAAATTAAGAAAATCAATTAAAAACAAAATTTCTAAAAGCTTTCAAATAATTAATGCAGGGAGTGATGGGAGATGACAGGAGGGGGAGTTACAAGTTCAAGAGAATAGGTAAGATCACCATTAATGAATTAAATAGCATATATCTAAATACATTACTGAAATTACCTTTTTATGGTAATCAACATACTTTTAGCTTTAGAGTTGCTGTACCACATCAGTAAAGAACTCCTAAACTTTGACTTATTCCAGAAGGCAGAAAAAGAGGGAAAACTGTGTTAGCAATGTTTGCAAAGCTAGCAAGAGCCTGATTTCATACCTGCAAGAAAACAGTGCAGAAACCCAGTATTTTGTATAGCTAATATATTAATAAAAAGAAAACAGTATAAGGAAAATTATGTAGGTATACCTCTCTTATGATTGCAAATGAGGAAAGTCTAACATGGCTAGACATTCGACATAGATGCAGCTCAGCTCGCCCTTTGTGCCTTGTAAACCCACTGCCAGCTTAAAATATCTCAAGTTGAAGAAATGGTTAATTCTTTTCACCAAAGCATCCTGGTTTTCTGAGGTAAGCTGTGGTATGTCCGAAGTTTACTACGGTTGACCTGGGGCTGTTGTTCATTGCTGCTGCCCACAGCAATGATGGGATGCTACATTGTGTGTCGCGGGTTTAAATTCACACTTTATTTTCCATGGGCCACAAACCCGTTTTACCTTTTATAAAGTTGTAAAAATGTAGATGGTACTATCATTCAGTTGGAGACAATTAATAAAGAACAATTAATAGGGAGGTCATTTTAGCTCAGAGTTGTCCAGTTTTCTGTACATTATTATTGAATGAGTTTTCCATCTATGGTATTACATCCCAGTGTGAAGGTGTGGTGGAGCAAAATCCCCATCGCATGCCAAGGGGTGTAGAGAGAAGCCTTTTTCTTGTCTGCCGTTTTGGTTTTTTCCCCACCAGTTGCCTGGACTCTGCTGCGTTGTAGTCCCCAAATAACACACAAGAAACTGTATTAATTATGAAGCTGTTGGCCTTGCTTGTTTCTTACTGGCTAGCTCTGACTTAAGTATTTACCCCATAATTGTTGTTCTAAGTATTTCTCTTACCCAAGAAAAGTTTCCGGGCTTCTTACACCTATGGCGGTTACATCTTGACTCCCTGTGTTTCTCCTACCCAGAGTCCTCCTGGACTCCTAGTCCCACCTATCTTGCTTCCCTATTGGCCAACAGTGCTTTATTGACATATACACAGGACTTCCCCAACATCAAATGATGTTGCAATGATAAATGGCACACTTACTGAAAATAAAAATATGTATTTATTGTAGAAATTACTCACAAGAGACAAACAAGTAACCCAAATGAGCGGAGTAGTTTCCCGCTGCCGAACTGGAAGCCAGAAAGCCGGAAAAAGAGAGCTAGACTTCCGCTGTTCAGTCTTTTATACCTTCTTCCATAACACCCCCAGCCATGCCCAAAAGTGGGCCTGGCTAGTGACATAGTTCACCGCCTATGTCTGTATATGTCTTTAGTCATGCCTAAAGTGGGTGTGGTTAGTGGTGCGGTAAACTGCCCTTTTATTACCTCATCTGTATGTGCCTCTAGTAAGTCACATGGCTAATGGCGGAACACTGTTTCCTCCTACAAGGGAGCTTGAAGAGAAGAGACCAGGTAACATCTATTCTCACCTTTATTAACACAGCCCCAACTACTCAAAGACTTCCCAGTGGGCTTCACCTCTAAAGACCCTGACTCAATATTGCCATGCTGGGAAGCAAGCCTTCATCGTATAGACTACTGGGAGACACTGAAGATTCTAACTATGGCATCTCTATATTCAGAAGTTTGGTGACTGAGTCAGTTTTAGCCTGGGAATATAATGGTGACAGTATAAGGGAATCTATACATTAAGGAATTAGTATTAAAAAAACACACTGTGGAGTTTAAGCTATAGGACAAAATTTTTTAAAAAGATTATAAAGATGATGCTTTCCCTAGATAAAATTATCAACTAAAAATTTACAACTAACATTATATTTCATAAAGATACTTGGAAGACAGACCACTATAACTATGATTTTTATTTTTATATGATTCATTGAATACTGACTAAACAATAATATAAAAGTACAAGATAAAATTCAGATACAGTGACACAAATACTGCCAGCTACTTTAGATGATTGCTTGAGACCAGGAGTTCAAAACCACTCTGTGATATAGCAAGACCATATCTTTAAAAGAGAAGGTATGGGGGTAATAAAGGAAATAAGAGGGAGGGAGAAAATTAGATTTCCATGACCACAATTTTTTAAAAATGTCAAGGGTTTCACAAACAAAATATTAGAAGTATTAATTATTCATTCAAAATTTCCTTAAAATTTTGACCAATGATATTTAGCAAAACCATAATGAAGGCATGATTTCTAGTTGCAATCAAAACTATCATACCTATGAACAAACAGTATTTAAGAAAAAAAAACTTCATGGAAAGTATTCAAACTAAGAGCCTAAAGGAAAATCTGAGTAAATAAGTACATTTCTACTTATTCCATAGCATCTTTTCTCTCCTAATATTAATTTCAGAATCTTTATGTGCTATCAGGATGTTTTGAGGAACATAGCCATTTGAATGTAAGATTTATGTGAAAGAATGGAAATTCTTAAACAGCTAGCAGGCAATTTGAGAATGGAAGAGCAATGTGTATTGATATACATACTTAAGACACATTTCTGACTCAACAGAAAACAAAACCAAAACTTAGTAGAATACTGTGGTAGAACAGAGAACTTAAAAACAGAACCCTGAGCATATGAAACTGTTACCTCACTGCAGAAGCATCACAAGTCAGTGAAGAGAAATAGATTTTTCTTAATACAACACTAGCTGAGCTGGTTTGTCACACAGCAAAAGGAAATTAACTCTCCACCTTACAGCGTACATCCTCCTCCAAATAACTTCAAGAGCAAGACATGCAAGCAAATATGAAAAAGAAAGTAAAATGTAAAGCAGTATTTCCTGATTTCATTACGAGGATACCATATTCCCAAAACAAATACTATGACAATATAAAGTGTAAGGGACTCCCATCCAACAATGTGAGCTACACTCTCACCCTGAACTCTTGGGGGAGGGTCTAGGCCCTGCCCTATATGAAATGACAGACTATGGACACCCCCATTGAGGGCCTCACCCTCCCTGGGGAAATGAGGGGATAATGGGGGGTTGGGGGGAGGGCACGGGAGGAGGGGAGGGAAAGGGAGAGGGACCTGGAACTGACTTGTGAAGCAACCTTGTTTCTTATCTAAATTTAAACTGAAAAATAAATAAATAAAATAAAATAAAGAATTTCTATTGAGTGAGTGGCACCAAGACAGGATCAGTGAAGAAGTCATTGGAAGAAAATATGGGGACAAAAGAAATGCTGAGTCTCACTGATAGTGAGATAAAGATAGAAGAGGCAAGTTAGCAGCGAGATGTCATCTTTTACTGATCAGAGAGGTGAGATTAGAAGCAGAGCAATATCCTGTGTTGATGAGATCTAGGTAGATCAGGAATCCCAAAGTTCTGCTGATATAGATATAAGTATCCATGGCCATTCAAATTACAGCAGAAATAAGTATAAAACACACATAAAAATGTTTTTTTTTACACCTTCCCACCATGGTGACCTAGTCCTACTTTTCATAGTAGCCTGGAAACATGTTTTAAAGGGTCTGTAAGTCGTCACTGAAGAGGATGGTCACATGAGGTGGTGTGTAAGAGATGTGACTTAGGGACACCTAGGCCTAGTAATTCAGAAAATGTATAATAAATATTGCAGCAGTTAGAGCCATGCACTAAATGTATACATAGTTGTGTCTGGATAGGTCATAAAGAGTTGTGCCAAGTGATCAAAGCAGTGCTTTCATTAATACGGTTTTTAAAGAGATATACTTATTCAAGGACACAAACAATTGACAGTTATTAAAGTGACAGTCAATAAATGGAGTAAACAATGGGGTTGAAAGGAAAAAATAAAATGAGTCGGAAGGCATACTGAGAGTAGAATTCAAGTACAACAAATACAACTGTGCCTCTAAAGTTCAAAACACATAGCAAAACTAGGTGCCTTGTCTAATTGTTATAAGTGTATTCTTTGTTCTCAAATGGTTGGGTACGTACAAATACACTCATACCCCAAAATAGTCAAGTCAGAAAAACTTATTTCTAAAAGCTTTACTGAGAGAGTTCTTTTTGTAGTTTTGTTTATTGAGACAAGCTCTCACAGCAGAGCTGTGGCTGGACTGAAATTTGCTATATATACCCAGCTGGCCTTGAACTGATAGAGACCCACCTACTTCTGCCTCCTGAGATGTGGGCTTAAGCATGTGTCACCATGCTTGGCAGAGAAAGTTTATTTTTATGACTAACCACTAGTCACACCAATAAAAGCAGTTCGGCTAATTTAGTGCTTTTTATTTTTCTCTTACAAAGGTTTCTCAGCAGTCAGCACCCCACCCATTGCTTTATTCCTCTGCAGCTTTGAAAGATCAATAACATCGAGTGCTGAAAAGCAACTTGCAGAACTAAGATAGCATTCAAATTAATTTAGCAGAAAACGTATCCACTCCATGTACTGAGACTACTTTGCACACATTAATTGGAGAATGGGGTGATTAAGCAGCAATTTTGATTAGTAGTTTGCCAACATGAAATTAAACTCCAAGCTCCTCCCTTGCACAGTGGTAAGATTCTCAAGAAAGAAATGTCAAGAAGATGTTTCATCTAAATTATTGAAAGAGAAAACCTAAGTTCTTATTAATTTCCCAAGAAGTCAAAAAAATCAGTTCTTGTAAGTCTTTATAATAACCCATTAAACTATCATAATGTTAACACTAAACAGACTTACTTGGCTTAACGCAATGCTTAAGCATTCTACATGCACCCTACTAGGTAATTCCCAGTTTTTGTACCTTTTTCTTTGTCAGATGAAGAAACTAAGTAGATAAAAAGGACTTAACAATGGAATCTTGAAATTCGCAGGGAAATGGATAGCACTGGAAGAAACCATCCTGAGTGAGGTAACCCAGTCGCAAAAAGACAAACATGGTATGTACTCACTCATACATGGATTTTAGACATGGATCAGGATAGTGCCAGTCTGCACTTCCACTGATAGAGAGTCTGGGAAACAGGAAAGAACCTAAAAGATATGCATATATGCATAGTACCCAAGAGAAGAGGATTGAGACAAGATCCTCTGAATGGATGGGGAACACGGCGAGGGGTGGGGGGAGTGGGACCTGGGAAGAAGAGAGGGGTGAAGAGGAAGAGAGTTGGTCATGGGGGAACAGGAAGTTGAGGGGGTGGGGGTAGAATAGGGGGAAGAGGGAATCATAGGATCGAAGACAGATCAGGCACCAGAGTGACCTCGAGTGATCTAAAGGGATAACACCAATTGGCAAGCTAAGCAATAGTGGAGAGACCACCTCGAATGCCCATTCCTGATAATGAACTTGATGTCTATAACCATCCGGGAGCCTTCATCCTGTGACTGATGGAAGCAGAGGCAAACACACAATTAATCACTGAACTGAACCCAAGGAACCCAGTGACAGAGAGAGAGGAGTGATGAGCAAATTGGCAAAGAATGGGCTGGCAAAACCAGCAGAGACAGCTGATCTGAACAGGGGAGAGCTCTTGGACCCCAGACTGACAGTGGGGAGGCCAGCATGGGACTGATCTGGACCCCCAAAATGTGAGTGTCAGCGAGAAGGCCTGGGAAACCTATGGGGCCCTAAGCTGTGGATCAGTGTCTATCCCTGATATACAAACAGTCTTCGTGTGCCTATAGCACAAAGAGGGATGCTCTCTCAGCCTGGACTCTTAGGGGGAGTGCCTGGACCCTACCCAGAGTAAAATGACAGACTCTAGATATCCCCTATGTGGAAGGATTTGGCAATAGGGTGGGAGGGAGGGGGGAAGGGGAGTGCGGGAGGAGGGGAGGGAGAGGGAACTGGGATTGACATGTAAAACAAGCTATTTAAAATTAAAATAAAAAATGATAAAAAAGAGTGATCACTAATAACCACACAGTGTAGTCAATATTAGGCTGTCTTGAAATCTCCTCTGCCAAAGTCATGAATTCAAAACTCTTCAATTTAGCTTCACG